CCCCGCCAGCCGTGACAAAAATAGTTCAGAGTTATTTTTGCCTACCATTAAAGAATATAATCTTTTACTCTGCTCAAAAATAAAGGAACACTTTTTATTCAGAGTATACCATCAAGTTAGTTAAACTTCTGGGATGTCAGCATGACTGGTTTGGTGGTGGGTCAGGGATGGTCTGGGGAGGCAAATCCATGGAGGACACACCTCTACAGGCTGGGCACTGACACCATGACTGGCGTTAGGTATCAGGATGAAATCCTTGGACCCATTGATACACCCTACTCTGGTGCAGTGGATACTGGATTCCTCCTGCTGCTCAACAATGGCTGGCCTCATGTACCAAGAGTATGTAGGCAGTTCCTTGAGGATGAAGGATCTGATACCATTCACTGGCCCCCACGTTTGCCTGACCTAAATCCAATAGAACACCTCTGGGACATTATGTTTCAGTCCATCCGACGCTGCCAGACTGCACCTCAGACGGTCCAGGAGCTCAGTGGTGCCTTGGCCCAGATCTGGGAAGAGATCCCCCAGGACACCATCTGTCTCATTAGGAACACCCCCCGACGTAGTCAGGCATGCATGGAATCATTTCTATCACTTGATGTGCCATCATTTCATTCAGCACATAGCCCAGTCCATATCTGTGTAGATATCAGCATCATTTATTTCCACTGAGATCAGTGTTTCCAAAGTGTTCCTTTATGAAATGGCACCTCATAATTAACCCATCATGGCTGTATAACAATAAAGCTTTTTGTATCTGGGTTTTAAAAAGGCACACACAAATTTTAAACATTAAAAACTGGACATTGTAATGTTTCATAAGCTCAGTTTGTATGCACTAATATTCAAACTTTCCAGGTGCTGGTTATCTGAGAAAAAGTTGTCTCCAGCTCAGCTGAGCACTGGGGCAGTTCTTTATTGTTTTCATTGCCGTGTTGATGGGTTTTCTGTATTCCCAGTGAGACTCTGTTACTGTGTTTCAGTGGGGAGAGTGGGTCTGGAAAAACGGAGTCCACCAAACTCATCCTTCGCTACCTAGCAGCTGTACTTCACAAAACTAATCTTGCGCAACAGGTATGCACACACACTTCCTGACATGAATAAAGAACTGCCATCAGAGTTGGATATTTGCAAACTAAGACACTCAAAGTTTTCCTTTTTGTAATGACGACTAATGTGCTTGTGCATATTTTTTATTTTCCTGTATCTCTGGTGGCTTTCCTTGGGTGCAGATTGAGGTAGTTGGGGTTTTCTGCATGCTGCGTGTTTTATATTTTACAAGTAATTTTCATCAATGGCCATAAGAATATCAGGTTACTGTGTTTTGCCGTGGTGTGTTTTTCTATGATTCATTTGGCCAGACATTCCCACTGAAACAGCTTCTTTCCTGTATGTTGTACAGTTACAGTTACTGCTCCCTTTATAAGGCGATCTGATAAAGGTTTATTTATTGTTTGTATGTTTGGCATCCCTGATAGATACTTGAGGCAGCTCCTCTTCTGGAATCTTTTGGAAATGCCAAAACCGTGCGGAACGATAATTCCAGTCGCTTTGGGAAGTACATTGAGGTCTTTATGGAGAAGTGAGTTTTTTTTTAAAAAAAAAAGCAACAAGCAAAACTTTGACCTCTGCTCTGATCTCACTCCAGCTTCTTTTACATCTGAAGCTGCTTCTTTTTCACGTGTGTTTTCTATTTCCTTGTTTTCCCAGTGGTAGGATCAGTGGTGCCATAACCTCTCAGTATCTGCTGGAAAAATCCCGCATCGTCTTTCAGGTGAGGCAAGCTGACACAAAGGTCTCGATAGCTTGTTTATTTCTGTATATGGAAGTGTTGCGGTAAATGTGGCGTGTGTGCTTCAGGCCAAAAATGAGAGGAACTATCACATCTTCTACGAGATGCTGGCAGGTCTTCCTTCGCAGCAGAAGCAGGCCTTCTATCTACAAGAAGCTGAAACCTACTATTACCTCAACCAGGTAGAAGATAGTTTGATCATCATCATTGTCAGTGATTTTGGGTCACGACCCTTCCAAAAACCCTTCTCGGGTCACGTTTAGCACTGCTGGTCTTCTCGTTCTGCACACAGGGAGAGGATTGTGGGATAAAAGGGAAGAACGATGCAGAGGACTTCCTACGTCTGCTTTCTGCCATGGAAATCCTTCACTTCACTGCGGATGACCAGTCGTCCATCTTTAGAGTCTTGTCTTCCATACTGCACCTGGGCAATGTTTACTTTCAGAGGCATGAGGTGTGGATTATTTTATTTCTCAGGTTTTTCTCATGTCATCACTTTTTTTATTTTGATTAATATAATAATAATAAGGTGCAAAGTGTTCAGTCACCTAGACTAATGACTTAAATTCTAAAATAAACTAAACTTTATCAGGACAATAAAAACTATGTAAGATAAGCAGCAAAGATTTTCCCACAGGTAATTCTTCTTTTCTTTTTTCTTTTCTTTTTGCATTTCTATTTCCCTCCTGAACTGCAGGCTGATGGCCAGGAGGTGGCGTCAGTGGTTAGCACTCAGGAGATCAGAGTAGTCGCAGAGCTGCTGCAGATCTCACCAGAAGGACTACAGAAAGCCGTCACCTACAAAGTCACAGTCAGTATCAAACCGTGTCCCGTCTGCATGTGCACTCATGTTCTGTCTTTTGTTCGTTCAGTGCTTGAAAACAACAAGCATAGCACTGCAGTCTGTGACATTCCTGAACCTGGAGGTGATTTTTCTACATTGTCAACAGGAAGGTGATGTGGCACTATGCCAGCGTTTCTGCCTTACTTACACAGCTGTGGTTACATTAAAGGCACTGTATTGCCCAGAGTGTCGCTTACGCAGACACAAAGGAGACACATGTGTTGATGCCACACACAGAGTGAAAGAATGAAAGACAAGAAAGAGGCAAACTGCTGTCATCGACCTGCTTAGATGGTTGTTTTCTCATCCTGACCTCCTCTGGTCGGTTATTAGTATCGTTTCTATCCACGCTGACTATTTCTATAAAGCAGGGGGTTTTGTGGAGTATATGGTTATCAATTCCAATGAACCATGTCATGTTTTTCAAGGGGAATTTAAATATATTGGAGTGCAAAACATTGGAAGATACTTTGTTTATGTTTGCGTTTTAAGGCCTTAAACAGAACAATACATTTAGAAGTGAAAGAATTGAAAAACAAATCAAACATGTGCATATAGCAGCCTGTAAACTAGGAGAGCATTTGTGAAGGAGGTGCATGATTATTTATCGAAAGACTTCACTGCTGATTTAGTTTAAATCTAGGACAGCTCATAGCTCTGTGTAGTGCAGGAGAGTGACTCAGTTTATCAAAGATTTATTAGAGAAGTCTGATTAAAATTGTTCCCTTTTTTAAAAAAAAAAGAAGTTTTGATTCCTTTATTAAGAGCCAAACATTCAACCCAGTAACTTTTTTGACCCAGCTGATAAACTACCAGCAAAATGACAGACATCCTCAAGTGAATGTACAGCATGAAAACTGAGTTTTGCAAGTTTAGCTTTTACCTTTGTTGGTGTATTAGTGGTATTCAAATAAATGCAGATGTGCCTTTGATAGGTCACTTTTAATTATCTGTATCACTTTCACATGGTGAAAACAAGACTTTGCAACATTATACACAAACAGCACAATGGTGTCATTTGATTAAGCTCTTGACATCATTGAGGAGGAAATGTCTCTCACCAGGACCAAGATCAGGAAGGGCAGCCATCTGCCTCAGCCAGTGAAGGTAAAAGGGGCAAAAAAGTATGGTGCACAGACAATACAGTTTCCCCAAGACACTTTATATTGTAAGCTAAAGACCCTACAATAATACAGAGGAAACAGAGAACAACAATAACCCTCTGTTAGCAAACACTTGGGAACAGTGGGAAGGGAAAACTCCCTTTTTACAGGAAGAAACTTCCAGCAGAAAGAGCCTCAGGGAGGAGCAGCCATCTGCTGTGACCATTTGGGCCTGAGCGGTGGAGACAGGACAAAAGACAGACTGTGGAAGAGAGCCAGAGATTATTAATAACTAATCATTAAATGGAGACTCCTAAAACGAGTGACTGAAATCATCAACTCAGCAGGAAATTGTTTAGTGTGGTCAAGTCAGAAAGTCCTCTTTCTCATAGGCCTCTATAGGTCTGAATGTCTTTTTGCAGCCATCTGGTGGTTTGCAGTTAGAATGCAGTTTGAGGGCACTTTCACACTGGTTTAATTTTTCCAACCCAGAAGCTGCGTCCATATTTTATACTTTCTATGTTATGAGCAGGAGGCAGCCCACAGCTCTGGAGACTCGCAGAAATATACAAGGGGGAAAGCATGAATGTAAACGGCTGCACACATCCACACATCCTCGATACATCAGAGGACACAGAAAAAAATCATATACAGTATTTAGACTGAGCTATGCTATTTTAAAAGGGAAAGCATCTTTTTACTTCTTTTATTTTTAGTGTGCCGCAGAGATGAACAGCCACATTCAGCTTATAGCTCCAGGGCGTGAATCTGTCAGTCATGCTTTTGTTGTGATTTCAGCTTTTTATGCTTCTGGTTTTTGCATCTAACCAGCTGGGAATCCTCTTTGTCCAAAGAACGCGGTTACTTATTTCCACGAGGCTTTGCTGTTTGCATCTTAGTGTCTTCATTTCTATACCTTACACATTCTCCTCCATAAAGAAGAAATGCTGTTTTGTTTTCATGTGAACTTTCTTGAGGTCCATTGAATTCAAACTGGGAGAGGATGGTAAATTGGTCATTTTTTTATGCTCTGAAGGAACTTCTTTAAAAACAGTAAACAGTTAGGTGGTGACAATTTTAAAACCTAGACTGTTTGCACTACAAATAAATAAATTTGGTTCCATTTTTCCTTATTGTTGCCCACATTTAGCCAAGTAAGTCAAGTTAAAGCCTTTTAGTCTGTTTAAAGCTGCAATTTTTATTGATCACTACAAGAACGAGTTAAGTCTCATTAGATTTATGGAACTGATTTAGTGTTCATAACCCAGTCAACACACACAACAAAACTATTGACTACACTATAGTGTAGTCAATAGTTTTGTTGTGTGATGTTGTGTTTTTTGAAGATGTTGTGTTTTTTGGAGTGGCACAAATAATTTGTGTGGCATCAAATTTGATGCAGAACAGCTGATTGTTCTGTAAATAGTTTGAAATGTCTATTTAAGAAAACGCCTTGGCTGCATTTTTAGGTAAACAGCTGCAAAAAACTTTGTT